CACCGGCCAGGCCTCAAACAGGCTTTTAAGGGCAAGTTCCGCCTCCAGCTCTGATGACAACTGACTAACACTACCTGGGTGAGCCCTCCCCTCCTCCTCCTCCTCCTCCTCCACCTCCTCCACCAGGGCCGAAGCCAGCCTCACCCTCCTCGGAGCTTCCGGAACCCTCAGCCCACACATCAATCACTTGATCCAGGATAATGCTGGTCACAGCTGCCGTTGGCTGAGCGTCTACTACGTGCCGGGCTCTCGGCTGAAGATGTTCCCCGCATTATCTTTCCTCCTCCTCCAACCCCCTGAGAGGTAAGAAGCATCATCACACCCATTTAACAGAGGAGCAAACTGAGGCCAGAGTGGCAGAGTCACTTGCTTCAGGGACACAGCAGCAAGTGTCTCTGCCAGGATTGGGACAGACGCTGTTGGCCGCAGAGACCTACTTAAGCACGTCAGCCCTTGCACGTACGCAAGTGCCCAGCACATGCCGAGCGCCCAGCAAGTGAACACGCGCTGTTTGTACTGCACTGTTATCAGGGGAGGGGACCGGGGGTGCTGAGTGACCCGAGGGGGTTTCCTTAAGCCGCACCCCTTATCGAGCCTGAAGTCCCCATTCCTGGAGAAAGGAAGTGAGGGTTCAGGGCAGCCCTTGAGCTGCTCTGGGGGCCAGGATAGTAAAGAGGTGTGCAGGGAGCCCCCATATCAGGACCCGGTGGACCCCGGGAGCCTGAGGGGTGCTGGAGTGAGCACCGGCGGAGGGGCCACAGCGGGCCGGGCGGGCGGAGCGGGAGGGCGTGCTGCGTGCTGCGGAGCTGGCCACTCTCTGGTCCCGCTGACTCTGCCCCGTGGTAATGAGCCGGATCCAATTTGTACCCAGGGCCCCGCCGGGAGCAGCTGCCGCGGCAGGGTTTGAAGTAATTTAATTGGACATATTAGCCACACAGCTCTCTTCCGCTCCCCTCGTGCAGGGCCTCACGCAGGCACCCCTCGTGGCCTCCCACACCCCATGCCAGCCTACCCTGTCTGGGGGCGGGGCGCACACTGCACCATCCAGCGCCGGGGGACCCCCACCTGCTAGGACCGGCGCCTTGACACCCCCCCTCTTTCATTCTCGGGGCTCCTGAGGCTCCAGAGCCAGAGGGCCGGCTGGGCTCTGTGGGCCCCAAGTTCTCCCCTTCCTCTGATGCAAGTGGCAAATATGGGAGCCCCTGGGGCTGCGGCTCAGACCTCTCGCTCCCGTCTCCTCTGCGGGGCAGAGTGGGTCACCCCCTTTTCTCCCCAGCTAGTCTGAGAGCCCCCAGCTTCCTGCACTCCACGAAGGGCACTGAAGGAGCAGGGCCACCAAGATGGGGGTGCAGTCTTACACACACACACATGCTGACTGACCCACACGCTGTCATGGAAATACCTGTATCCATCACACCAAAGCTCCAACCCCCACACGCCTGCGTGCCACACAGCCAGGCGAGGCCCTGCTCCCAGCAGATGGAGGCCTCAGAGGCAGCCAAGCCGGCAGGTGGGAGGGCGTGGCAGGGGGCAGGCACGGCCCCTGGAGGGCACAGGCCCCGCCTGGCTGGGGACAGGGACCCAGGGCCAGGGAGCCACCCTCCCCCGATGCCTTCCGTCACAGCTCCCTGTGCACCTCCCCGAGCTTCGCGACAAATACACTCATTAGCTGCTGTTGACAGCGGGCAAGGCACGCAGATGAGCGCAGCCATTACGGTGGCCCGTCCAGCTGCCACCGCACGCAGGTGCCCACGGAGCAGGACGCTTCTCCCCTCGGGCCCCACACAGTCACCATGCAAGCGGGCTCCCAGCCCAGCCCGACCGGTGACACCTTCCCACGTGCCCTGCCAGGTGGAAGCTGCAGAGCCCCCCGGAGGAGGCCCGACATGCCAGCCCACATTCCAACCAACGGGGTCCAGAATTCCAGGAGCCAGCGCTGGGCGCCATCCAGCCCCTTCCACAGGTCCCGCGCTGCCTGCCAACTCTGTTCCGACCCCTGGGGATCCTGTTGGGTGAGACCTAAGCCCTGCCCTCCAGACACAAGTTGGACAGGGCCCAGCCAGGCTGCCCCTGCTGCCTGGAAAGTCAGCGACTTCCATGTCCATGGAACTGGCACAGTCCGCCTGGCACCATTGACTGGGGTTCCCTGGCAAGGCAGGCGGGCACCCGGGCTGGGCCTGGCACAGGCTGGCTCTGGCACCTGGCCAGACCAGCGACTGCCCCAACAGAGAGCTGACCTCACCAGTTGCATGTGCCACCTGCGGGGCGCTGCCCATGGAGCAGGGGGCTGGCTCCCAGCAGGGCGCCCTGTGCCCACCGGGAGGCCTCGGTGCCCTGAGGAGGCTGTGCAGCCGACTGCTCTTCCAGCCAAAGCCCTGCTCCAGACCCGGCCTCCCACCTCCACGAGGCTCCCTCACCACCCTTCTCCCTGCTGTTCCCGCCTCACTCCCCGGGTGGGAGCAGTTATTGAAAACGGTCCATCAGATTCAATGAGGATTCAAAGCCCCTGAGAGAATGGGGGTGGGCAGGGAGTGGGGAGAAAGGCGGGTAACCACCCACTCCCCTGCCTTTCCCTAAAGACCTCCCGCAGCCGCAGGCGGGGGTGAGGGGCAGCCCTCACGGGCACTGTGGCCTCCCAGGACCTTTGGGCCTGAGTTTGGGGTCAGCCAGGTCCCAGCTGCTCAGGGCCTGTCTCTGCTCACCCGACACCCACCTGTTCCCGTGCCTCCAGCTGCCTCACCTGTCACCTGCTGGCTGTGAGCTCCCACCCCAGTCCAGCCTGTCCTAGCCCCTCTCCCCCAACTCGGAGGGGCGTGGAGGCTCTCTTCCTCCCACCACCCCACAGTCCCTGAGCGCCCAGCCCATCGGCCAAGCTGTCCCCACAAGGCCCTGAACAGCATGAACCAAGGGGTCCTGTCTCCGTGGGAAACGCGATAGCTCGGGAGCGCGAGCCACCCCGATCCGGGTCCCACAGAAGCCATCCCTCCCGCCCTGCCCTGCGCTCCGGACCTGCTCAGCCTCAGGTGCCCCTCTAGGTCAGGGCCTGTTGGCAGATCATTTGAACTTCAGTCCTAGACTCTGACCCAAGCCCAGATACAGGCCAGGGAGGTCTGGGCCTGTGCCGATGGGGCAGGGGAGGTGTGGGGGGATGGATGGGTAGATGAAGGTAGGGGGAGAGTCTGCCAGTGAAATGGTTAGACAGAGCCAGGCCTCCTTGGGCCATCCAACATCCCAGCCCTGGCCCCTAACCCTGACGGCTCTCACAGCACACCCTGATCTGTTCTTCCAGCCATACCCCTAATTCCTGCCCCACACAGCACCCAGCAGCCACTGCCCTAACTCGTGCCCAGGGGCCTGGGCAATCCCATGGATCCTTCTGCCTCCAGAGAGGAGACCCACCGTGCCAAGGCCCCCCCTGCCCATGCCGTGGGCCCCCCATACTTCTCAGGAAGGGCCTGCCCGGCCGACTTGCTGTAGGGAGCAGAGCATTAACAGGTGGAGCAGATGGGACCTCGGGCACTGCTACCCCCGGGGACAAGCTGGCAGGGGGCTGGGCAGGGCAGGCCACCCTCAGGACCCAGTCTCGGTCCCCACGGGGCTGCAGGCGCTCAGACTTCCCCTCGCTGGCCCTGATCACTCACTCACTGCAAGGTCACCTCTCCCTCCCTCCCTCCCTGCTGCCGTCCTGCCTGCCCACTGCAACGCTGACCCCTGCAGGCGTGCGGAGGCCCTGCCCGGCCTGGGGACAGGCATCGGAGGGACACAGGGAGGCCAGGCCGGCCTGGGACGCACAGGAGAAAGCTGAGAACAGGGAGGGGGGAGAGGGCTGCATGGCTAGGGGGAGGCAGAGGCGAGTTTGCGGGCAGAGCGGGGAAGGCCGGGCAGAGTTTGGGCAGAAGCTGATGGGAGCCTTCCTTCTTCACTGGCTCCAGCTCTTCCCCACAGTCCCTCGCTCCAGCCTTGAGAGATCTGGCGAGAACTGCCCGGGGACCAGGCCCCCAGTGGGAAGGGAGCTGCGCCGGCCCTGTCCCCTGAGTAAGGGTCTTCGTAGTAGGCTGAGCCCTACGGGGACATGCTGAGTGAGTGGGCTGAGGAAGGCGGTACCACAGGGACCCTTTGGAGCCAGCTGGGGACATAGGGGAGCAGGACAGGACAAGAGATTAAGACATTTTCAAGGATTGGGCCACAGGTGTTCCTGGGAGTGGGAAGAAGGGGTCAGGGTATAAAAGGTACTGGGCCCTGGGGGACCAGAGAGGCTGGCCTGAATCCCACAGGAATTAATTTGCGTATCTCACTCCCACCTGGTGCCATCCAAAGGAAAGGTGGGGGGACGGAAATAGGGGACACACAGGCCCGGCTGGGGGAGTCTAGCCTGGAACTGTGAGGTTATGGGAGGTCGCCAGGGATGCTGGGACACAGAGGCCAGAGTGAGGTCTCTGTCCCTCAGAGTTCCCCAGGGGACCAGGAGCAAAAGCAGAGGCTGCCATCTCTAGCCTAAGACTGACCCCACCCAGCCCAGTGCCCACACCAGAGAGAAGTAGACCTCAGCCCCGGCCACTTCCGGAGCTGCCCCTGCCATGGCACCGGTGGGCCCGCAGCGGCAGTGGGACTGGGCAAGACAGGGAGGCCCACTGCCGAGGGGGAGAGGGAACGGTCTAGGGGCTCCAGCACTGGGCTCCAGGCCTTTCACCCAGAAGATGCCAAACACAGAAAGTTGGCGTCCGTGGAGAGGGCAGGGGTGCGTGGGGAGCGGTGTTGTCATGGTGCCAGGTCTGGGAGGGGAGAGGAGGGTTGGAGAGAGGACGAGGGAACAGCCCCAGGCCACTAACCTAACAGAAGAGGGGCTGCCAGCCGGGCCGGGCAGGGGCCGGGGGTGTCCTTCCTGCCGCTCCCCTCCCTTCCATCCTCACACCCAGAGCTGGTCTCTGCACTAAGCTAGTTGCTTCCGAGAGGGTGAGCCCAGCAGCAGAATGCCCTGCCCTTGGTCCAGGTGCTGGCAGCTGGCAGCCTCCTGGGGGAAGGTGCCAGGGCAGGTAACCTGGGTCCAGATGAAGGGAGGCATCTTCAAAGGCAAGGTGCCTTCAGCCACCCCCTAGAGGGCATTCGCAGATGGGCCTGAGGTTCCGGAGAGGGAGACCGAGTGCTGAGGGAGGGCGATGCCTGGCACCAGGTCTCCCCCGGTGGAGGCAGCTGCAATGACCGATGGGGCCGAGAGCCGGCTCTTCAGGAGGCAAGGGCAGACGGAGGCTGCCCCGAGGGAACCTGCAAAGTGGGGCCGGGGCAAGAGCAGGCAGAGCAGGCGCCCACTGGTGCCCGGAGCCTCCACAGAAGGGGTCTGAGAGCTGCTCCCGCCCCCGGGGCCCCCACCCCCGGGGACACCGGCATCACCTCAGGCTGGGGTGACGTGCATTCAGCATCAGAGAGAAACCCAGAAACTGAGACCCTGCTGCCAGGACGGGCAGCCGGCTGGGAGTGCCGGGCCTGGGGTGGGGCCCCCCAGGAGGGAGCTGAGACCAGCCTGGGCAGGAGCTGGAGGGGACCTGCCTACAGGTGGGCACTGCCCGAGGAGGCATCGGGAGCCAAGGAGGAAATGGCAGGGCAATTGCCCAAGGAAGGAAGGAGGGTTCCTGGCTTAGCTGCCAGGATGCCAGGATGCCAGGATGCCGAGCAGACGTGGGCTCCAGGCCACTCCCCAGGCTCCAGCTCCGGAGAAACGCAAAGGAGCGGCCCCTCCCCCGCCCTCCTCCACAGGACCGGAGTGAGTTTGGGGTTCTCGGCGTCCCCCGCCCCAGGCCCAGGAGAACACCCACTGGAGCCCCCACACTCATCCATCTCTGCTCGCTTCTCTCCAGGTGCTCCAGCCTCCCTCCCCTCGCTCCTGCGGCTCCCCAGCCCCCTCCCCTGCGGCTGCACCAGATTCCCGCTCGCCCCCTGGCACCCTCTCAATTCACAGTTGGCACCGCCAATGGCACCGCTCCCCAGCGCCCGCAGCCTTGGTCAAAAGCTTCCCGGGATCCTGGTCCTGGGGTCCCCTAGCGCGGGCACCTCCCCTTCGGGGCGCTGGTGCTGGGGACCCGGGGATGCCAGAGGCACTGCCCGCTCCCGGAGCAGGCGCCTCGCTCCGCCACGCACG